ATATAGAAACCTAAAAAGTTAAAGTCTAAAGAGCCAACCAGAAGAACGCCAAGGAAAGGGTCGAACCCTTAAAATGGGAGGGCCTGTGGCCGGTACAGGGATTTGCGGTGGCTACGCCAAAGATTCCGGAGAGGCCAGGTGAACCGAATCCACAGCAGCCCTCCGAAACAGCATCCTAGAGTTAAGGAGGTTTATGCATTACACCAGTTACCACAAAAAATAAGCCGCAAGCCCGAAACCCTAAACTTTGAAAAGCCTTTTCAACACCACACCCTGCTTTAGCCCCTGAAAGGAACCCAAACACCCTTAAAATTCCTTACAAAACCCGTAAAGGACAACATTAAACAAAAGAACAAAAAGCCTGGGCCTAAGCCCTAAGCCCTAAACCCTAAGCCCTAAACCCTAGGCCCAAAACCCGGAACCTCCAAACCCCTAAACCCCTAAACTCTAAAATGCTGAACCCTAAACTCTGGAGCCCTAAACCCTAAGCCCTAGTTGTAGATGCCGTATTTCCATGTGGATTCTTCCAAGCGGTCCCTACTTGGATGGTCGGGGGACATAGTAAGTAGTTATTTTATAGACTTATAAGTATCATAACCCGAATTAGGATCCCTGTTAGGGTACTTGTAAGTCTACTTATTACCTACTTACTAAGTCCCCGACACTCCAAGTAACTCCTAAACGCTTAGAAGCCCTAAACCTATTTGTCCAGTATCCTGCGGAGCCAGAAGCTAACCTTTGGGAGTATGTCGGGATTATATGGGCTATAGTGCTCCAAAAACATTAAAGGTTACCTACTCTGCTACTAGATGTTAGGTTCCAAGGGTCAGTTTCGGTGCTGCAGGCAGATCTTTGTACCAGACAGCGTCGGTGAGGCCCCAAGCCCAAATCTGCGTGTAAGGCAAATTGCTGAGATTTTGAACGCAGTGTTTGTCATAGGAGTCGGTAAGATGGCAACAGCCTTCCTCAGAACGGTACTGCCCGTGCTTGTCCTTGCGTGCCACGACTTGCGAGGAGATGATAGTCGCTTCACCCCACAGCTGCTCGGTGCCCGTGGCTGCGAGGGCGACTCTGGCACGGCAATGTGTGTTGCTCCCTCGGAGTTCCCACGTCTTCTGCCGATTCAGTATTTTCGCACAGAACCATGGCTGTACGCTCAGGTTCAGGGCCGTTTCGGGTTCAGGGGTTTAGGGTTTAGGGCTTGCAAGAAAGACTGCTTACCAGGTAAATCCCTAAGCTGCGCACCCTAAACCCGTAAAGCCTAAATCCCTAAACCCTAAATCCTTATAGATCCCGTAAAGGAAACCCGTTCAAAGGAGTCCTAAAACCGAACCCCTAATGCCTGAGCCCCAAATCCCGACACCCCTCTTAAAGGAACCATTATAGATCCCCTTAAAGGAACCCTAAAGCCCCTAAAACCCTAAATCCCTGCGCTCCTGCATAAATACCTTATAGAGGCCTTTAAAGGAACCCTTATGGTAACCCATTAAAGGAACCCTAAACCCCTAAATCCCTAAATCCCCTAAACCCGAATCCCTTTAAAGGAACCCCTAAACCCCTGCATCCCTAAATCCCCTAAACCCTCATCCCGTTGAAGGAACCCCTATATCCCTGCGCTCCTGCATCCTCAAGGCTACCTCCTGCCACTCCCTGGCCACGATGGCCTTCATCCCCTCGGCGAAGCCTGGAATTCAGGGAACCAGCTTAGGGTTTAGGGTGTAGGACTCCTTTGAAGACTTCCTTAAGGTTGCCTTTGATCAGGGTTTAGGGGTTTGGGGCCTTTAGGGTTTAGGGATTTAGGGTGTAGGAACGGTTTAGGGTTTAGTTAGGGTTTTAGCCTGGAATACAGGGAACCCTAAATCCTAATATAGCACCATAAATAGTAGGATGTCAGGACTCCAAAATGAGGTACCCCTAATTTGAAGCCTGGAATTAAGGGAACCAGTTAGGGGGTTGTGTTTTCAGGGTTGTTTTGAAGGTTCGGGGTTGAAGGGTTTAGGGTTCATGGTTTAGGGACTTAGGATGGTTTAGGGTTTTGGTCAGTAGCCTTAAACCATGCAGGAATCCCGAGTATGATTGGGTACAGGGGCGTTCATACTCGGAACGGGAGTCTGGGGTGTATATTTTGTAGTACTTTGATACAGGATGTTTAAGTGAAGTAACGACTTCTAAGTCAGAGGTGTTGGGCTCACTCTGTCTGGCACTAGTTTTAGCTGGTCTCTCGGGCCTTTCGACCAGCTTCGATCTATCTGTGTGCGTGATTCAGGAAAGAATGTGGGCTCCTGCAAATCTCCAACATGATGTCTTCAAGATTAGTGCTTGGGCAACAGCAACAACAACAGCAACAACAACCACAACCACCACAACACCACAAACGTATCAATAACAACAGAGATCCTCGTGGTATCCTCGTAGGAACATCCGTAAAGAATGTTATAGCAGGCCTTGCATCACTGCAGGTGCCACGCGGTCCATGAGCCCGAAGTCCAGGAATGCGATGCCTCGGTTTTATGGGGCTCATGACACGGGCTCAGGACCTAGGGCTCAGGTGTTGGATGGTGTTGGGGTTTTGGGGTTGCCAGCACCCCCAACTACCCACTGTTATACCCTACAATACCCACTATCAAGGATCATCAGGGCTGTATGAGAGGATACCTGGTTGCTGGTGCGGTTTAGGGTTTAGGGCTTGGGGCTGCGGAAGCTTGAGGGCTGGTTGAATCCAAAATCCCAAGTCCTGTATGTAAAAAACCCTTTAGAGGAACCCATCAAGGAGTGGTATATTTTATGGACCTGTAGGATCGAAAATTTGGGGTCAGGGGTTGGATGCCAGGGGTTTGGGTTCTGTGTTTAACCCCATTTGAGGGAAGTTGTCGGGCTTGGGGGGAGTTGGTATTTTCAGCGCTCTACTCGAAAGCTTGAGAGATTTAGCTTTGGCTCCAATAACCTACTGGCTTGAGGGTCCTTGCCTTTGCTGGTTTGGGTTTCGGTTTCGGGTTCAGGAATCAGGATTTTGGGTTTGTCCGGAGGGATCGAATCAGTCAAGATCGTCCCGTCCGCTCCCTGGTAGAGCCGGACGCGCCTGCGCTCCAGGACGGTGATGTCGCACTGGACCACCGCAGTGCTTCCTCGCCTGAAGCCGCGCTTTTCCGTCCATTGCCCCGGCATCGGCCCAACTTCCCAACCACGAAGTGGTTGGCGAGACTGCTTCCCCTGGGAATCAAAGCCGCCTGAAGGAAAAGGTGCCGCACACACTCAACAACAATCGCACCATGGCTGACAGCGGGCTTCAGACCTTGTTTTAAAGGGTTCAAGTCACCCAAGGTCCACGCATGCGGCGCCAATGGCACCGGAAGCTCCGATGCCTCCCGATCAAGCACAGCACAGCTCAGCAATGATCGAGGCGACCACACAAGGGTCCGAAGGACCCAATAATGCGGGTACTGTACTCGGTTTTAGGATTGTAGTTATGTAGGTTAGGATTTTGGGGAGTATATGATTTTTGCCCAGAGGGTCCATATATGATGATATAAATCCTGCACTACCTTAAGGACCCTAAACTATGGGAATTATGGTATATTCCTTATTCTGGGTAATGCAGGATTTATATCATCAACCGTAGGGGATGCTTTAAAGGAAGCACCGGGGGTCCTTTAAGGGGTTCCTTTAAAGGATTTCAGAGGCTGCAATGTACATTAAATAAGGAAATATACCTTATTAAATGATATTGGGGGTCCTACGAAATAGTTTAAGGTATATTCCTTCATGGATGTTGGAGTCTCTGGGATCTCTAAACCCTAAACCCTATAAATCCCTTAAAGGAACCCTTAAGGCCTTAAGGATCCGTTTAAAGGAACCCCTAGGTATTCCTTAAATTAAGGGATACCCCCATAAAGACCCCTTCATGATTCTTTAAGGTTTAGAAGCCCCATGAACCTCGAGTAGAACCCTTGATATGGATATACCCTAAACCCTCAACCCCTAAACCCCTCAACCCTAAACCCTCAACGATACGGGTGTCTCTGGGACCCTAACCTTAACCAGGGCTCCACAAAGCGTTGGTGGACGGTCGATGCGCTGGGGGCTTAGTGTGTCTAGTGGGCTCAACGGGCTTAGAGGCTTAGTGTTTAGGGTTTATAGGGGTTTAGTGGGTTTAGTGGGCTTAGTGGGCTTAGGGTTTAGGGTTTAGGGTTTAAGGGTTTAGTGGGCTTAGTGGGCTTAGGGTTTAGGGTTTAGGGTTTAAGGGTTTAAGGGTTTAGTGGGCTTAGTGGGCTTAGGGTTTGGGGGTTTAAGGTTTTTTTTTTTTTTGAGGGCCCCTTTCCTTCCTGCTACAGTCGGAATACCTAGTAGGTAGAGCCTGGACGAGGACCCACGACCGAAACAAGGAATGCCATTGCAAGTACGGAAAGCTGTTACAAGTACGGAAAGCTGATACATCTATGACATCATACGAGAATCGGGGTGGACCTCGAAGCTTGCAGAAACCGCAGCTACAAATTGGTCGCACAGGCCAACACCGGAAGACTAAAACCGACCTAACCCTACGAAGTAGTCCCGTGCAGTGCTGGCCAGAGGTGCAAACTAAGGTCGAGGCCGTATAGAAAGGCGGCACTCGGTGCCCTCTCTCAAAAGCCGAGTCGCCAGCTGCTCACACTAGAACACACCCACTTGCAGCCCAACGTCCCTCCTAACCCGCAGCTCTCAAGACTTCGGCCGTTGCCAGAGAGAAAAGGCGAGGGGTGTTCAACAATCGGCCAGATCGCAACACCGTGCCAGTTCTCAGTCGAAACCAAACTCAAACAGCAAAGCTCATGTCGCCTACCAACAGCCTGGCACAACGTTGTCGAAAGAAGAGCTCCACATGCATGCCGCCCGGCTGTCACAACAGGACTGAACTAAGTGAACATGAAATAAGTGAACATGTACAGCACTGGGAACCGCATAAGGTCGGCGCGCAGCAATGCATGTAAAATCGCAAAACTGATGCAGGCTACCTGTCGTGGCTAATCATCCTTGTCACTCGAGACTGGAGTGCCCCCGCTCAAACGACGACGTCCATTAGAGTGAGCTCGTGATCGACGGCACACCGGTTCTTCCCTGCCATCCTCGTGGGCCATTCCGGGCAGCAACTGCGTTTCTGCTTCACTGAGCCCGACCGGACCATGCATCTCCCCTGTGGAGAAGAGGAGAGTGGGCTGAGCTTCCGTCTCTGCATGCGCCTCAGCTCCAGTGTCCTCGGGGAGTCCCATGGCGCACTCTTTGAGGAAAGCCAACAGGTGGCGTCCTCCTCTCCTCAGCACCTGTTCGTCAGTCAAGCGGCCGGCCTTCCACATCTCGCTGACCCCATACGTCCACGGGTCGTTCATGCTGAAGACGGTCTGCTGGGCGTCCGTGGTCTGTTGGCAGTAGCGCAGTAGAGCTGTGCCACCTGCCCGCCGGACCTGTTCATCTGTGTAAGTGCCTTTCTGCCACAAGGCCAGCATACCAACCACCCATGGGTCTTGTGGGTGGTAGCGGCCGCTCTGCGTGTCCGTGGGCTGTGGGGCATCCGTGGAGCCACTCGGTGGTGATGTCCTTATAAGTGAGGGGGCAGTTGCTCTGGCGCGATCGGCGCCCCATTCCTGTACCACTGACCTGACTGGGTATCCACGTTGGCTGCGACGGTCAGCGTCCATGGAGTCCCAGGCTTGAGGTCCAAGGAAAACTCCCGGCTGTAGGGGCCCATGGTGCTTCTGAAGCTCACTGACGGTCGGAGCTTCGGGGGCCTATATGAGTACCCCCCGGCCTCTGTCATCACGGCGTCGTCCTCTGCCTGCTGTTGCTCACTTGCCCGTTGTTCCAGGTGCCACCGGACTGCCGCCTCCTCTGCCTTCTCCTCATCCTCCTTCTCGGCGAGGAACTTCTCCAGCTGTGCGGCCTCCTCCCGCGCGTCCGAATCCGCGTCCACTGTCTCCACCTCGTCCTCTGGGTCTGGGCTGAAGACGCCACTGCATCGGCGCCACCACCAGGACACCCACAGGCATCGTAGGCCTGCTCCCGGTGGTGGATCCTCAGGAGATTCCCCAGGTTCCAGAGCGTACGTAACCAAGACTGCTTGGAGGTTATCCTTGTCCACCACCAGTTCGTCAGGGTGGTTCATCACCTGGTACAGCAAGCCTCTGGCCCTTGCTCTTGCCGTCGCCGTTGGCATGGCTGCGAAAGCGGCGTTCAGGGCCTGAGGGATATCCTGTGGATGCCGGGCTAGATGCGGGCCCGACCCGGGTGGTTGCCACGGTTTCATGTCAGTCTGCATGAGGTAAACATCGTCAGCTTCGAAGTCGTCCCGAGGGTGGTTGTGCCTCGGGGTAAGTATGACGGCTGGTTTTGCTCGCTGGAGAAGGCTGTGGTCCTCAGTCTTGTCGGGCTTCCTGCTAGAGCTCGCTGTGCTTCTCGCCCTTTTGGCAACTTCAGCAGCGCACAACTGTGCGATCTCTTCATTGAGCATTGCCTGGAACCGCGCCCATCCAGACAGGAGGGAGCGGAGCTGGTGTTCCGATGCGGCCTGCAGGGTGTGCTGAATCAAGCTCGAGACGTCGCTGGGGAGGTACATGGGGATGCTGTCAGAGTCTGAGAACCACCTTCCGCGGCTTCGAGGGCGGAGTTTGCCTTGCGGAAGATGGTCTCAAAAATGACAGCTGCCTTGCCTGCCGAGTTGACCTCCACCTCGAACGCCAGGATTTTCTCCTTGAACAAGGAGACGGCCAAGCGCTTCATGCGATCTCCTCCATAGAGGGTCATGAAGGGAGACCTCCGCTGAGCCTGTTTGGCAGAATAAGCAGCATCTTGATTCGGGTTCTTCTCGGCCAAGAGCTGCTTGTCGATCGACTCTTCAAGTGCAATGCGCAGGTCTTCGTTGATCGGCAATTGCAGCAAAGCTGGATATGGCCTGTCACCCATTCGGCTTGCCAGACAGAGACTGATCTCAGGGAGTCCAGCGACGATCGAATTGTGGGTGAGTCCTGGGACCTTTGCTTCCTGGAGAGCCTTGAGATAGTTTGGAGCTCGCCCCACCAGACGCTTTGCAGCTTCGCTGAAATTGGTGGCCTTTTTGGCTTTGAAGGTGCCCAACTTTGAGTGCACTGTTCCGAAGAGCAGGACACTCAAGATGTAGCCGACAGCGGCTGTGATGGTTCCTGGGATGTTCTGGTTCTCCCAAGATTGAATCCGTTCGCATTGGGCCAGGAACCATTCACGAACGGCTGATGGATTTCCACCAGCACACTTGAAGTCGTCGGAAATGCCGACTTCATCGTCGGAACTCACAATCCGACTGATGGTGCTGAAGAAATCGCGCAAGAGGTCAGGATGAGACATCGCCTTCTTGTCAGAAGAAGAAGCGACAATTCCCAAGGAAGTTGTCAAGAAGATTCGTGAAAAAGGCGCTCGCCTTGAGCCAAAGGGGTTTAGGCTTCAGGGTCCAGGGTTTAGGGTTTAGGGGCTCGGTTGGAGGATCCTGGGACTTAGTAAAAAGGGTACTGCTGAGAGCCCAAATCCTATAGACCCCCCTTGTAGCACCCTTTAAGCAGCCCAGTGCCTAAGCCCTCAACTTTAAAGCCTGAACCCTCAAACTAAACTCCTAAACCCTAAAACCATAAATCTCAAACCCCTAGACCCCTAAAGCCCTAAACCCTGAAACCACAAACCCTGCACCGACACTCTTTTATGCCAGGATTCGTCCGTCCTCTGTGTAGAGGAGGTTCCCCTTTAGGGGTTTAGGGGTGCTTGAGGGCTCCGATAAGGGATCCATTAATTGATTAAGGAGTCTATAGTCAAAGGGGAAAAGGAGGGACCTTTAATGGGGACCCCTACCCTATAATGGGCTATATAATGGGTATATAATAGCTATATTAAGGGTATATACCTAGGGGTCCTTATTAAGGGTCCCTCCTTTCTGCTTTGATATAGGGGATCTACAGGGTTTCAGGGTTTAGGGAGGCTCTCGGGCTCCTTTTATAGGGATCCATTAAGGGGTCTGTATCAGATCTACAGGGCTTCAGGGTTTTGAGGGGGCTTTAAGCTTCCTTTAGGGTTTTAGGGTTTGGGGTCTAGGGGGGCTTCAGGGTTTTGAAAAGGAATCCACTGGGGGGGGTCGAGAGGGGATCTATATGGGTGTTCGGGTTTAGGGATTATGCTTCTGGGCTTGAGGGGGTTTGGGGTGTAGAGTGTAGGGGTCAGGCGTGTTAGGATGTAGGCCTTTTAGTTAAGGTTTTTTTCATGAATTCTTTGTTACAATGTCTGCCAGCGCTTAGGATGTAGGGCTCCGGGTTTAGGGTTTGGGGCAGGGTTTAGGATTTAGGACTACATGAGAGAGCTTCGGTTAGGGTTACGGGTTCAGGGACCGCCCAAGAACCCCTTGCACCCAGCGCCTAAGCATTGCCCCTAAAGGCCCATACGGCCTAGACCACAGTATCGGAGCCTTAATCACAATCCTTAGAACGGGCTTTGGGGGTGCAGTCGAGCCCTGTTTTCGTTAATGCTTAGAAGGGAGATATTACCGCTGATCACGACCCTAAACCCTAAACCTAAACTCCTTCTTTGCTCTCACTGACTCGACTGCACACACGAATTCCCGGAGCCAGCAGCCCTCAACCCTAAGCCGCAATCGGTGCTCAGAAATGCCAAACGGTTTGGGGTTCAGGGTCTATCACCCTACGTGTTCGTATCCCAGTATTCTGGGGAACAACAGGTTAACTTTTGGGAGAATATTGGGATTATTTAGGGACTGGAGTAGTTAAAAAGGTTAACAAGGTTAGTTACTCTTCTACTAAGAGCCCCTTACAAACTCTGTTTTACATACCCTTTCGAGCCCGTATAAAACCCCTAAAAGTACCCCAAAAGGTGAAAGGTAACCGACTCTACTACTCCCAAGGCTCCATGTACCCACATAGTATCTACTTCGGCCTTAAAGTACCCATACAGGGACCCCTTCAAGGCTTAAGTATCTACTATATGAATATGGGTACCATGGACCCTTATACCCTAATCCCCATAGAACCCTTTAAAGCCTTTCAAACGCCCTTTAAAGGAACCCTACTATAAAGGTACATGGAGCCTTTGGGTACTAGGGTCAGATCTTGGGTGTCAAGAGACAGTTTCGGGACTGGAGGTTTAGAGCGGGAAGGTTTCAGGGTGCAGGGCCCGTTAAGGGGTTTAGAGGTTTACAGTAAACCCCATAAAGTTGGAAACCGAATTAAGGCCAAATAGTGCCGGGGTTCCCTAGACATTACGCTTAGGGATTGAGGCTATTGGGCTTCCAACTTTTTGGCTTCTAGTGTAGGGTGTAGGGGTTTACGCGTCTGGGGTGTCGGGTTTAGGGGTTTCAGGGTTTAGGGCTTCTTGCAAGAAAGAGTGCTGAAAGGGAGCCAACCTCAGACTCGAAAGATCCCTTCAACGGTTGGAACAATGGCCCCCTAGTATGGGCCCTTAACCTTGGGATCCCTAAATACCTACTATATACCCTGTATAGACTCTTAAAGGTCCCTAGAGCTCCCTCAAAAAGGGCCTAAGGGTCCATATTAGGGGCCCATACTTCTAGCCTTAAAGTAAAAACCAGAAAGTTGGAATATGATTATCCTAAACCCTTTATGGTAAATTATAAGGTATCCTACCCTGAAACCATATATTCAAACTTTCTGGAGTTCCCTTTAAGGGTCCATACTAGGGGCCCATACTTCTAGCCTTCATTCCCTAGACCGCCCAAATCTCTAGGATGGGGCCTTCACGGTTCGAGTCGGACTTTTAGGCCATATTATAGCCAAGCTATCAACTACGTATAACGAGGAACCCTAATGAGTGACGTTACGAAATAGTCAAGCTTCTGCCCAACCCTAATACCCTAAATCTTGAACCTAAACTCGAAATCTTAAACTCTAAATCCTGAACTCTAAACCTAAACCCTAAATCCTAGACCCTAAACCCAAACCCTAAACCTTAAACTCTAAACCCTAATCTCTGAACCCAGACCCAGACTAGAGTTGAACACCCATCGCAGCCTCATGCGGGTCTGCATGAACGAAGCCGGTCACCAGCAGCTGAACGAGACAAGCCTCCAAAGCTAAACCCTAAACCCTAAATCCTAAATCCTAAATCCTGAACCCTAAAGCCCTTACAGATCCCTTAAAGGAACCCTAAATCCTAAATCCTAAAGCCTTTATAGGTCCCTTAAAGGCACCCTAAACCCTAAACCCAGACCCCGAGTATCCTAGACTCAGAGCTGCCTCCTAAGGGATCCTATAGGGTTCCTTCATGGGATCGATCTGGGATCCGATCTTAGGGCTCCTTTAAGGGATCCTAGGGCTCCTTTAAGGGATCCTCGGGGCTCCTTTAAGGGATCCTCGGGGTTCCTTTAAGGGATCCTAGGGGTTCCTTTCAAGGGGGCCTATCAGGGATCCTAGGTCTCAGGGATTTTTTGGGGATCTCCAGGGTTTAGGGTTTGGGGTTCAGGGATTAGGGTTTAGGGTTCTGGGATCAGGGTTTCGGGTTTAGGGTTTAGGGTACTCAGAGACTCCAAAATCTCTATATATCTTAAATCATACTAGGGATCCTAAACCCATGTAAGGTATATTCCTCAATTAAGGGATATAGGAGTCTCTGGGTTATACGGGATCTCATCTGAGGGGTATGTAAGGTTATACAGGGTTTCAGGGTGTTGGGTGCTAGACGGGCACCAAACGGTTTCTGCACGGGCTCTAGAGGGAGCTTAAGCCTCGGAATTCATTGGATGGAGACTAGTTCATGGTTGGGATAGGATTAAAAATGCTCTTTTTTGATTCCTTATTGGCTTTTTTATTCCTTAGTGGGTTTAAGAACCCCTAAAATTTCTAAACCCTAAACCCCAAACCCTAAACCGTGGTGTTACCCAACTATGACAAAGGAGACGTGGCTTTGAAGTCCAGCTGGGCTTCGGGGCTCATGGATTGACAGATCCGAAGGTTCAGCGCGTTGGAGTTTAAGGTTTTAGGGTTTAGGGTTTAGTGGTTTAGGGCTTAGGGGTTTAGGGTTTAGCGGTTTAGGGTTTAGGGGGTTTAGGGTTTAGGGTTTAGGGGTTTGGGTTCGGGATTGAAGCCGTAGACTCGTTAACTCGAGAGCTTCATTCCTCGCGGAATCATGTACTCACCGTTTCGACGGCGATCGATTTCCACGACAGTTGTGCTCGATCTCTGACAGAGATAAGAAAGAAGAAGAAGCTCGAAGACCGGCAACTGTTGCGCAGCAACCAACGATCTGACTGACTTTGCCTTCTCTGGTCTCAGCGAAATTAAACTCGGCGAAAAGATCGAAGATGAATCTCATCCAGATCAAACCGTGAATCGCTGAACCTGAGAAGCCTCTGCCACACCTCACCTGCGTTCTCGCAAAGATAAGTTGCATTGAACGCTGGTAAGAATGTAGACAGTGGAGTTGGAGTTGTCATCTGGAGAGCTCTCTGTCATGACATTGGTTTGACTTCGCACCGTTGTGTTTTGTTGACTGGTTTCTTTTCACTGAATATGTACCCGAGGCTGCAGATACAGCACCTGTTGTTTACGGGGCTTTACCTTTGAGGCACAGGAATACAGAGGTCATAATAACTCTTTTTTGCGGGCTTCCGGGCCACGAGTAAACCCTCAATCGCAAACCTCACAAACCCTGAACCCCAAAAGCCCAAAAACAACACAAGAAGCACCTCCAAAAACAACATGAAAATTAGGAAAGCACAAAAAGTCCTGAATGCCCTACTTAAAAGGGCCTTAAACCCTTATGTTGTGAAACCACACAAAACGTTTAAATGCCCCTGTAGAGCCTATACACCCTTGAGAAAATTGACCCGAACGAAACAGTTGAAACAACTACAACCACCATCCAACCCTTGATAAGACAAACCCTGAACCCTCAGACGTTGAGCAAAGCCCCTGAAAGACCATCTTTCTGGAAGAGACAAAACCCAAAACCAAAACCATGCCTCCACCGCCAGCCGCACGGCCCGGCGCCGAAGAGGTCGCGGTAGTGAGGCAAGGGGCCGGCCCTCTACCTACATGTCGGGTATCATGGGGAACTGAAGGTTAACCTTTTTAGCTATATGGGGATTGTATAGGGACGATACTACCCAAAAAAGGTTAAAGGTTGCCTACTCTACTACTAGGTCTACTTTGCGTTTAAACTTTCTTGTGTCTTGGTTTCTGTTTGGGAGGAGAGGGGGGAGAGTTTAGGGTTTAGGTTTCGGGGTTTAGGGTTCCTTTAAAGGTCCCAGCAAGGGCTGCCAACACAAAGAAGCTTGGGTACTGCCCCCATACAGTAGAAGCCAGTAAGTTGGAACATGGCTTTAGGAGGATTCG